TCTCCACTCCCTAGTTGATGATTTTTAGATATAGGGTCTCTACTCCCTAGTCACTTTTCCAACATAGGATCTCACTCCCTAGTTGATGGTTTTTAGACATAGGGTCTCCACTCCCTAGTCGTTTTTCCAACATAGGGTCTCCACCCCCTAGTTGATATTTTTAGACATAGGGTCTCCACTCCCTAGTCGCTTTTCCGACATAGGGTCTCCACTCCCTAGTTGACGATTTTTAGACATAGGGTCTCCACTCCCTAGTCTCTTTTCCAACATAGGATCTCCACTCCCTAGTTGATGTTTATCTTAGACATATGATCTCCACTTCCTAGTCTCTTTTCCAACATAGGGACTCCACTCCCTAGTTGATGAATTTTAGACATAGGGTCTCCACACCCTAATCGTTTTTCCAACATAGGGTCTCCACTCCCTAGTTGATAATTTTTAGACATAGGGTCTCCACTCCCTAGTCTCTTTTCCAACATAGGGTCTCCACTCCCTAGTTGATGTTTTTTTTAGACATAAGGTCTCCACTCCCTAGTTTACTTTTCCAACATGGGGTCTCCACTTCCTAGTTAATTTTATTTTAGACATAGGTTCTCACTCCCTAGTTGATTTTATTTTAGACAAAGGTTCTCCACTCCCTAGTCTCTTTTCCAACATAGGGTCTTCACTCCCTAGTTGATTTAATTTTAGACATAGGGTCTCCACTCCCTAGTCTCTTTTCCAACATAGGATCTTCACTCCCTAGTTGATTTAATTTTAGACATAGGGTCTCCACTCCCTAGTCTCTTTTCCAACATAGGGTCTCTACTCCCTAGTTAATTTTTATTTTTAGACATAGGGTCTTCACTCCCTAGTCTCTTTTCCAACATAGGGTCTCCACTCCCTAGTCGATATTTCCCAACATAAGGTACATCAATCTTGAGTTGAGGTATCATTTTGACAAAAAGGAACACCATCCCAAAAAAAATCATCATCATGATCTTTTGAGGGTACACCATTCCCGACCTTTTATTACTTTCAATAATGAAGTAGTATAGAGTTTTGTTATAATAACTTACGAAATTTTTTTAGTAAAAACTGGGGCAGAAAAATTTCGTTCATTCATTTATTTTGGTGTCTGAGCAGGTTTTTACCTCGAGGCACAGGGTTAGAGATAACCAAAAAGAAGTCTCAATACAAAATAGTGAAAGAAATGGAAAAGAAGTGAGCTCAAAGTGCAGAAGCGGAGAAAAGATATGGACTGCTCAAGACATGACTGAAGCCATAAGCTCTGCATGTCCCGTCTTGATTAGAAAAGCTGAAGAAGAATGAACTAGCACCTGCAGCTAGCAAGCATCAAGATTCAGATCAGAGTCTGCGTGAAGAACCAGCCAAGACTCACGATCAAACTTCAGAAGACTTATAGATAGGAATCTTGTAATTCGTAGTTGATAGGCTTAGTTAGTCTTTTTCATTTTTGAATTTGGTGTAATAAGGAGCTCAGCAAGCAGCAATAGCAGCAGCAGCAGTGAAATCACAGCTTCTCGGTAGTCTCAGCTACCAAAACTTCTAGAACTATACCGACGTGATTCCTTTATAGCCAAGGATATGTAGGCAACCTCCGAAGCAAGGTTCGGTCAAAGTTTTTTAAAATGCTTCCCATGGAGTGTCCAACGGGCAAATATTGCTCGTAATTTCTCACTTTATCTTTGCCCGAAATCTCTTCATGTTTCCGAGCAAAGAGGGGCAGCTGTGAGCACATAATTTTTGCCTCACAAAAAATACTCCTACAAATTTTGCAAAAATAGGTTTTTTTTTCTTTTCTCTAATTATTTCTAATTAGAACTTTTAGGAATTTCTTGTTAATTATTGTTTGCATTTTATTTGCATTTTGTGCATATTTAATATTTCAAAAATCATGAAAAATATCACAAAATATCCAAATCTTCATTGCATAGCATTTTAGGTTTTTATTTGTATTTTTAGGATTTAATTACATTTATTAGTTGCATTATTAAACAAAAATTACAAGAAAATACAATGGTCTTGTTAACATTTTAGCTTTTAGTTTTAAATTAAATAATATTAAGTTAATGGAAAATAATTAAGATAGATTAATTTTACGAATTAGACTAATTTAGGATTCTTATTTAATTTGTTTCGGATTTAAAAATCAAGAGAAAAAGAAATAAAGAAAAATAAGGGTTTTTTTTTTGTTTGATTTACTCATAATTTGGGCCAATAGCCATTTTAGCGGCCCAATTCTCCAATCCGCCCAGTCCAATACTCATGGTTCAATCCGGTCCACAACCTCAACCCAAAATGACCTCGTTTTGATCCCTTAAATCTCAGCCCTTCATTTCCATTAATCCAATGACTCGCAACTCCCTTCCCATCTCCCTTTTAACTGTCCGAACCGACCCCCNACCTCCAGCACTCCCTCAGCTATAATCCACCTTCAATTTCCCCAAAAGCCCCATCAAATTGGTCGAATCATAGATCTAAGAAGGTCAAAAAAATCTAAATCTGTCCTTTTCTAATTTCTCCTTAATCTCGGCCCGTTTGAACTCGAAACCTACATCAATTGATTGCTCTTGATGAGAGAAATCGATTGATGTTGGTCTTAGTTCATCTCACAACTGCCGGAATTTGTTATGCCTGTCGGAGTTTGGTATATCCTCAGTTTTCTTCTGACCTGCATCTATATGGCATCGATCGGTAACCTTTCGACCTTTTTTTTGTCTCAGATTAATTGTTCTTGGTTGATTTCAAATGAATCCCTATTTTTGCATTTTTAGTAGACATTTCACATATTGTTTTTACATGGTTAGATTAATAGTTTTAATTGCATAATAGTTAGCTTGTAGGCTAGTCGATCCAGATTTAGTTAGTCACCATGTTTGAATTAGGGTTTATTGGTTAAATTATTTGATTTTTTGCACATTGTTTGCTCTATTTTGATTTCCAATCTGGTCGAATCTTTTGTGTTTAGTTTGTTTGTAATTAACAAAAGTCTAAGGGGGGTAAATGAGATAGAAATTTAGGGAATCTTTTGTTTGAGCTGCTGAGAAAGTGTTAGAAGGTAGTAGAAGGGATTAAAGTACAAATTAGTTAAAATTTAGGGTGAAAAAGAGGTAAAAATAAAAGTAAAAAGGGTAGAAAATAAAAAGAATTATCTAGAAACTGGGACATCTATCCCTTTTCAGTTGAAAAGTTATTTTTTTCCTAAATTTTAGGGACTAACATTCTAGAATTATTTTTTGATTTTTCTGTGCACACAACAGATTTCATTCTCGATATAAGACCTTATCTCCTCTCATTTTTACTCTCTCTAGATTCAAAACGGATTTTCACCCTAAGAAACCTCTGAAATTCAGATTTCTTTTCCTTCATTTTGAGACTGACTTGGAAACAGATTTGGACTTCACTTTTTCTTCTTTTTGAAAATTGAGAACTTCCCTCTCATTTGGCTATGATTTGGCATTAGAGTTTTATTGGTCTTTGGTTTTACTGCTGAATTTTTGATTTGAAGATCAAAGCTCCTGTATGCTTTTTTCACTGCTATTGGCTGCTACCGTTTAAGCTGTGTTTTCTTGTTGCACTTCTCAACTTCAGAGATCTATTTTCTATCTTGTCTATCTTGCAGTAATCAGGTGCTCATCTGTAAAATTGAGTTGCTATTTTTGACATGAATGAATCAATCTCTTTATTTGTTTCCATAAAATCCTGAACTTTTACTATATTCATATGTTGATTCTCTTATAATTATTCTGTCGATTAGTGGATTGAAATTTAGCTAACTTTATTATGATTTATTTTTACTAGTTTGATGTGTTGAATAATACAAGCCAGAACCCTTTGCCCTAGCTTCTGCTCACTTGAATTGGTTGTCCAGTGTGTTCTAGACTGTTTAGTGTTCCTCCTTGGTTGATTTCTTTATGTTGAAACTATTTTAGTTTGTTAAAAATATTTTATTAATCAGTTCATCATCTTCTATAGCCTGTTATTGTCTAACTAATGATTTGCGCTCAAAAATGGTATTAAGATGTGGTGGCATGGATGGATTTGACCACGAGTTGGTCGGAGTCATCTCTGAAGGAGCCAATACAACACTTTAAATTGCAGAAGTATATAGTGTATGAGTTTCATAGTTTTTCATACATTTAACAGCTAGGTTACAATGGTTAGCTATAGAAGTTCATATGAGTTAAAGTGAAGTTCATTGACCAGCCTTGTTAGAATAGCTATTACTAGCGTATTTGAATGGCAAATTAGTTATGAGATATTGGTGTTGTAATTAGAATTTGAATCGTATATATTCATTTTGGGATTATGCTTAAATTACTATATTTTTTCTTTCAATGATAGATGAAGTCTTGAGTCATTAAGTTTGGTTCCCAATCATTGGGCCAAAAAACTGGCCTAGCGAAGCTTTAAATTTATTTTGGAGCCCTAACAGACTTTCGACCCCTGATCAGATTTATTTTGGGCTCGCTCAATGAGCCCGTGGTCTGTTCTTCCTTTATAAGGCAGAAGACGTTTAAACTATTACTTGAAGTTCATTTTTATATGTATATGTAATAGCTAAAAGTCCAATTTGAGTGCCTAAACAAATTTCAACTTGTGCCAGTTTTCCTGTTTAAAAATCCACATCGATTTGGTTAATTGAAATAAGAAATGTGGTTTAATTATAAGCTATCATCCATCCATCAATGGAATTTTTTTTCCCTTTAAATACAGTTAATTCCCAATCCTCTTTCCCTAACTCTTCTATCTTTGTCGCGAAACAGACCTTTGACATTCCGAAATCATTTGAACCCACGAATGAGATGACATAAGCTCTTGATACTCCAGTAACCCCAAATTAGTTTAGGAAAACAATTATGAACACCGTAGTTTGCTTTAGGCGCGTTAATAATAATCATCGTGACTATGGGTATGGTTCTCATGGCATAGTCATGATACGTAATCTCCAATTCGAGTGTGCGTTTCACGTGACTCGATCACAACTTCAAATAATAATAAATAAAATTAAACATATTGTAGATTATGGATGCGTTTCACGTGACGCGATTTGCGATGTTTATAAACAACGAGTGTACTACAACGTAACTCGTCTCATATTAATTCCATAAAAGTTTAAAATGCAGTAATGTAATAAAAGTAGTAAAAGGAATAAAAATGCACATAGGTTTAAAACATGTATTAAATCAGATAACTAGGCCAATTATTAATAGTTGAGCAACCGTGCTAAAACCACGGAACTTGAGAGTGCCTCACACATTCTCCCGGGTTAACAGAATTCCTTACCCGGTCTTCTGGTTTCAGAGACTTTAAAACAGAGTTAAATTTCCCCGATTTGGGATTTAAAATGAACCGGTGACTTGGGACACCATAAATTATTCCAAGTGGTGACTCTAAATTAAATAAATAATCTCATTTCGAATAGTGTCACTTTAATTGAAAAAACTCCCTACCCCCTCGGAAAAAAGGAGGTGTGACACCTATACCCACCGTCATTTAATGCCTCATTTAATTTGCCTTCGTCCTTTAACGTTATAGACTTAGTTTCGAAACCTCCATAGCCAAACCATGAGAACCCATATTTCACCAAGCATTTACTGATTCAACTTTTGAATTTTTTCTTCAGATTTTGTTCTATCTCTTCGTCAAATAGTAATTTCTAGGCGAAATTTTTGGATGTAAAAGTATATTTTAGTGAAAGTGGCTTTTCAAAATCATAGATTTTTTGTATTTTTTTATTGTACTTTTGTGAATAAATATTTGAATAAATATATGTGAGTTGTTGTTTTCACTATGGGTCGGAAGCACTGTGCGCGTAGATGGTGGCGCCGTGCATAACATCATTCTTTAACCCAAGTAGTTGCTACATTTGTTGCCTCAGTCATGTCCAGTCCTAGTTTTTCATTATTTTCTGATTCTCCGTCTGTGTTTGGTCCTAACCCTAGCAGTAGTCGTATTGAAAACACAATTGAAAATGTAGAATTAGAGGGAGGGAAAGGCAACAATATTAACGCTTCGTCAGTCGATGGAACTCCCTATCAGTCATTACCCAAAATAAATTTCGAACCAGTCAACAAAAATTCTACTTTAAATCGAAATTGATAATATTTTTAATATTACAATTACATCCACCTTCAACTTGCTTCATTAAACAAATATTTTAGTTATTTAAGGGCATAAAAGGCTATTAATATTTTAGGAATATTTTTATCGTTCAATATTTAGCGTGAAATATTCGTGATTGGATCATATAGATAGATATAGATACATAGATAGGGTGATAGATAGATATATTTGATAAAGATAAAAAGCGTTAACTTTTAACAAATTTAGAGGACTAAAACCGCTTATGAGTGTACCTAAGGTACCATTTTCAAATCTACCCAAACGTGATTGGATCATATTTGCCATTTTCCTCTAATTGCTGTGCCTCGTCTCAGCTGGCTCCTCTCTTGATGTTTCGGTCTGCCGTTTTCGTTTGTGTTTCTCGGCGCTGTAAGTTCTGTTCGTGAATCTTTGACAGAATAGTGGTTGTTACTTCAGTGAATCAATTGTAAAATGTCATCGTTCAAGAATGCTATTCCTAGACGAGCTCATAAGGAGCGAGCTCAGCCGTAAGTGATATTACTTGCATAAATTAATTCTGTGTTTTTGAGTTGCTTTAGTTTAATCTGTTTTTTGATTTTGTTGTCTATTATATCAGACAAGCTAGGAAAAAATTTGGATTGCTCGAGAAACACAAAGATTATGTGGTGCGGGCGACAGCATTCCACAAAAAGGAGCAAACTTTACGGGTAACTTTTTTTATTTTTATTTTATTTTTTATTCTACTAGGAATTGAAAGGGTTTGAAGTTAGAAGATAGGATTAGATACGATATTAGTTGAATTAGACTTGGCAGCCCATGAAAAATCGAAGTATTTTGTAGCTTAATACGTGATTGAGACGTGAATAAGTTAGGGTTGTGTGATATTTGCTGCAAGAAAGTCAGCTTGCGGCAATTGGGTTTTTATAGTTTATCTGTATTAGAAGATCAGAATTACAGCGGAGGCACACGATACCTAGTCATTTCTTTCCCTAAGCCTTGGGGGCAGAGTTATGCCGTACCTGTGATGGTGCGAGGTAGCAATGTACCCGGTGAAATAGTCGATGTGCGGCAAGTGGGCAGGGACGTCACTGGTATTAAAAAAAGGGATCAGAATTCAGAACCATTGATTGTGTTTTGCAATTAGTCAATTTGAAGGGATCCTTGAATGTTCTTTATTTTTCTTTGGTGGTGGTACCGCATCTCAGTCGACACTGATCTTTTTACATTTTATATGATCAGATATGTGAATTATATTTATTATTTGCTTTACAGAAACTCAAGGAAAAAGCAGCATTTCGGAATCCAGATGAGTTCTACTTCAAGATGGTTAAAACAAAAACTGTGGATGGAGTTCATAGATTGGAGTAAGATATGAATATTCATATATGTTGGGTTGCGCTAATTTCTTCCTCATTCGTGATTTACCTGACTTGTTGGATACTGTTTCGATGTTTCCAGGAGTCAAGTAAATAAATACACTCCAGAGGAACTCATGTTAATGAAAACTCAGGATATAGGCTATATTTTACAGAAAGTTCAGACTGAGAAAAAGGTATAGATTTGCAAAATGTGGTTCATGTTTTAATCTCTCTCTCTCTTCTTGAGCCAAACGATTGAGAAATCTCTTATGCTTCCTTCTTGTCAATAAGACAATAACTCTTATTGTATGCAGAAAATTGAGAAGTTAACTGCCACACTGCACTCTCTTGATAATCAGCCATCAAATAGACGTGTCTACTATGCCGAAGATAGGTTAGAAATAAGATGCCTTGAATTCTGTATCCCTCTTTAGACTTTCCGTCGAATACATTGAAATAACTTAGCTTTACATTCTTGTTTTGATTTGCCTATGCACACAAAACACAATCTATATTGCGCGGACTCTTCATTTTGGCCACCGCACCCGTGTCGACACGATACTAGTACTAGTAAGGGTGTGGGATTCGTACCAGATGTAGTCAATCGAGATCAGGTTCTTTGACCACAATCCATGGACAAATTTGAGGAAAAATGAAAAATGAAAGATTGAATTTTAGTTGTTGCCTGCTAGTGCCTACAACTTGAGAAATTCTCAAAATGAAAGATTGAATTATTGGTTGCACTCCAGAACCTATAAGTTTTCCTTAAAATATTTCTCATAATTTAGGATATTTTTGTAGATCTATTTTTAATATTTTAGACAAGAGTGGGTTGCTCTAGTGGTAAGCACCCTCCACTTCCAACCAAGAGGTTGTGAGTTCGAGTCACCCCAAGAGCAAGGTGGGGAGTTCTTGGAGGGATGGAGCCGAGGGTCTATCGGAAACAACCTCTCTACCCCAGGGTAGGGGTAAGGTCTGCGTACACACTACCCTCCCCAGACCCCACTAGTGGGATCATACTGGGTTGTTGTTGTTGTTTGTTGTTGTTATTTTTAAAATTTTGAATTATTTTTAGCCGAATCCCTGCACCTATATCCATACTTAGATCTATACCTCCAAATCTTAAAATTTGGATTATAAAGGATCCAACCTCTAGATCCGCACCCGGATCGGATACCTGCATCCCAATCCGTGCAACATAGAACACAATCACGTTTGGAGATATCTACTTGATTGTCATTGACCTGACCAATTGCGTTCAATATTTAGATTTCTTTTCATGGGTTGAACCTCATTATTCAGAAAATAGTTGACTTTTACCATACGACTAAATGATTCATTTGGAGTTATCTACTTAATGACCTGACAAACTGCATTCTGTGTTTAGCTTTCTTCCTGAGTTGAAACCTCATCACTTGACTTGATCTATGTTGACTTGTACCATATGACAATTGAGCCATGTCTATGGAGGACTAACGATTCCCTCCTCTTTTATTAGGTGTTATCTCTAATGGATGCTCAAGCTTTATTCACAAATAATCTCCTCTCCTTCTGGTTTCATTTGTCCTAATTATACACAACCATAGCAGGCGTCTTTCTAAATAAATTTACTGGCACTCACAGATGAACTACTCAAGAGCCTGAACTAATGCTGTATCGTTGAAACTAACTCAACTTGGGCTTTTTGAAAAATAATAAAAAGCAAAAATAATAATAAAAGAATTACTCAATAGCTGAAACTGTTAGAGGATTTCAGTGTCAAGCTTGAATCATGCAGTGGGGTTTCAGCCTCTCAGGACCTATATTTTTCATTATCTTTACCTTTTTTTTTTCCTGTTTTTAAGTTAGTTTATTAGCCTCAAACAGTCAAAGCATACTATTTTCTTTTAACTTTTATCAATTTTTTGGCTTCTCTTATTAATGCCCCACATTTTTTGAGAAGAGGATCACGTGGTGCCATATAAGGAACTGCCAAGAGCTTTATTAGAATCTGTTACTATCGTTTTGGACAGCTAAAAAAGTGTTTGTTTTGATCTATCATACACCTTATGTTTTGGTGCTTCCATTGGAATACAGTTGCTATGTATCTTTTAATTCCTTGGATTATGACCACGAATTCTTATGAGAGTTGCATATTTTGTAGCATTTCTTTTCTTTTTTCCCTCCCTCTGCCTCAATGTATATATTACTTTAAATTTGCCGCTTCTGTTAAAAGATCTTCTTTGTGCTGCAGTTTCCTTCAAATTCCTTACTTTCTTTGTTTTGCTTATTTACAGGGAGGAGGCAGAAGAGCTAGCGTCTAAAGCATCAGAACATAGTAATTTGGCTGCTTCTGAGAACTTGCCTAGTAGTATTAGAAGGTACTATCAGTTTATTCCATTTATATTGTAGTGCAGATTAATTTGTCATGTTTTGAACTCTTTAATAATCAAAAAACAATTATGTTTGAACTTGTATAAGGTTTAACCTTTTAGCATTTGATTTAGAGCTTATCAACCATTTTCGGATGTAGGAACTTACTAGTTTAGTGATGTCTAGAAGAATACGTCAATTGCAATCCAAACTTACATTATCTTCTTATCCCTTATAGTTGATAAATTTTTTGAAAAGGTTCAGTCCTTTTTATACCAGAAAACATTCTTCTACCTTTTATTATTTTAGGCTCACTGGTCGAGAGGAGCTAAAAAATTCAACCACATCATAAAATGCCTTGTTTTTTCTGTTAAAATTGGACAAGGTTTATTTTTAAAGATGAGGGTAGTTTGTTTCTTACATTCGATTCAATCCCAATCGAGCACTTTGTAACTGCAGAGAGGAAGGAATGCAATTGAAAGAGAAAAGTATCCATTTGGGATATGCCTGGAAAGAACTTTAATATGTTTAGTTTACTTGAACAAGTGTTGGTCTTGCTTCTGTAAATTGTTCTTGGAAATCAATTGTTACAAGTTCTATTCTTGGTTCTTAAGGAATCACTAATGCCTTCAACACTCTGCATAGAGTGCGACATTCAATTTGATAAAAGAGTTGCATTAATCCTATAATTTTTAGTATTTTTTAAAGCTGGGATAAGGGTAGATTCTTGCACTTTCTTGAATGTGTACACTAATTCCCGTTGGTATCAGAGCAAAATTTGTGAAGTTGTTCATTGTTGGAATCTCCTGCGCAGGAAGACAGCTGCCTCCTATAGAGAGTTGGAAGCAAGAAAGGGCAGAGTGAGAGACTTAGAGAAACTGTACATGGATATGGCCATTCAGAAAGAATTACAGGTGTTTATACATTTCAGGTTTTATGTTCGTCATATTCAAGATCTTGAACTGTGACTTCAGAATAACTCTTTTCTTGTTACCAGAAATCGGGAAGGAAACGCAAGCTTCGTGAAGAGGAGCTTGTGAACCCAACAACCAAACCTGTCTACAAGTGGAGACAAGAACGAAAGCGATGAGAATTTCGATGTTATAATACAAGTACGAGGAAGTGTTTTGGATGGTCATATCAAGAATTCAGGTGAAAGTCTGTAAAACAGCTGCCTACTTGGCTTCATTGGGTATTGAAGTTCTACAATTTTTTTGGTTGCTACTGTCTGGGTGAAATCTTTAGATGGAACTCATGCATCACTTCGTGGAACATCTCAAACATTTAAATATTAATATTAATCTTAGTTCCAGTTGGTGCTTAAGAGGCTTTGGCTGTGTGTAAAATGGCAATTGAATGTGAGAATGATAGCTTCTTCACAATTACAGGATTTGCTTCTAGCAACTGGTGTGTACAAGTGCAAATGCATGTGAAATTTTCTCCTACTAAGCTCAGTTTTCTAAATTCCATTTTCTGATCCTGCAGTTCCGAATACTTTGAGGCGGATAACATTTGAACAGCAGTAAAACAACAAAATGCGCAGTTGAAACAAGCTATGCCAAAACGATTGTGGTTTTGTTTGAGAAACAACACACAAAGAGAAGCGATTTTTTTTGCTGATAATGAAGTTTGTAATATAGATATTCATCATGATTTTCCTACAGAAGTCAAGAAACTTTATAAGATGATACAGTGTCACGACCCAACAAGCCAAAGACACTAATGTATTTTCTTTGTTCCTCAAGTCACTAGCAACATACAATATATCCTTAGATGGCAAATTTCAATTATAATACATTTCTATGACCATAGAGTTCTTCAATTCAAAACCTGAAACTTCAGGATGTTCAAATATCAATTCAGTGTGAGAACAGGAATCTCATATTATTTCAGTAATTTAGCTGCAACATGCTCCGCAATAGCCATACAGGAAGTTAGGCCTGGGGATTCAATCCCAAACAAGTTAACTAAACCAGATATACCATGAATGTCCTCTCCCTGCAAAATGTGTGTTTTAGAGACTGTCAAAATTAGCAGATGGAATAAAATTGAAATCTAACAAAAAACATGAAACATGAAAGGTAACCAAAATGTCAATGCTTCATGTGTTCTGACAATTCTTGTCTGATAAGCATGGGAAGAAAACCCAACCAGGGTATTTTCAATAACTTGGTCGTGCAGAAAAAACGCATACAATTTTGTAGGGATTCGTTAAAATTTCGTCAGTTGGACCAGATGTGCTTAATTTTGTCAAACTTAAAGAACTATACGTGATCAGAGTAATATAATAGGGATGAAAACATATCTGCTCCTAAACTTCAGGGAGCATTTGGATTAAAATCCCAGAATAAGTACGATATTACCTGAACTACAAAATCTGTAGACCCCTCTTCTGGACCAGAAAGCTTTGGTCTGATGCCTGCATAACCTGGCTCCAAAGATCCATCCTTCAGACCAGGGTAGTATTTTCTTATCGCTGGGTAGAATTGCTTTGCACGGTCTTCACGCACAGAATAATCAAACCTAGAATATCATAAGCATATATCATAAAGGAGAATTGTCTTCTAATGCAAGAAGACTAACCATTTCCAGCATTAAACAGATATTTTGACAGTTCTGCAATTCTATTTCCTTATTATGCGTAAAGAACGTAACTGGTTGAAATACTCAAAAGGTGAAGTCCGAATTAAAATATTTACATTATCTGTCCAAACATTCACCTTAGCTTCATATAAAATTATCCGTCCGAGAATTCATCATTGCTGCGCATAGACAGTTACAAGTTCTTGAAACGGTGAGCTTTTGACTTAGAGCCTGTTTGGATGGGCTTCAAACCAGCTTTTAAGCAGTTTTTAACTTGTGGAAGTGTTTGGCAACCAAAAAATGGGCTTAAAAAAAAGTTAAAATCTGCTTAAAAAAAGCCAAAACCAATAAGTTGGAAAACCCAACTTTTTCTAAATTGGCTTAAAAGCCATATTGCTTTGACCAAGGATATTACATTCTTATCCCTTATAATTTTTCTTAATCCCGAAATTACTCCTAAGTAAAAACCCAACAACATACTATTTTTTTTCCCCATTCTCCAATATTTGTCAATTTCTTGAAGTTCTTAACGTGAAGCAAACAATAATTTTTTAAATAATGTTTGATACATTCCAATATTTTGTAAATATTGTTCTTTTGGCTTCTTTTTTTGGTTCCATAACATTTAATTTTTTTGGTCGTTGAATCCTTCCTTTTTTTTTTAATTGGTGTAACTATATTCTAAAATCAAATCATTCAATGAATTTACGTGTTATCCCTGAATTTGAAGCTATGAACGGAAAATATAATATTATGGTCATCATCTTCTTTATAATGTTAACAACTTTAAGGATATTTCAGTCATTTTAACAAGAAAAAGTGCTTACCAGCATTTGTTTACCAAACACTTCATCAACTTGTTTTAAGTTTCAACACTTTTATCCAAACACGTAACTGCTTATTTATAAAACAAGTTCCAGCACTTATAAAGTGCTTTTAAGCACTTAACTTAAAAGCCATTTTTTTTAAGCCAATCCAAACGGGCCCTTAATTTAGGTACCATTTTTTTTCCAACACCTTGTTGCATTTCCCAATATAAGGAGTCCGCAAAATTTTGAGCATCAGGCAGCGCAAACAAAGATGAACTGTCAATTCTATAGCTTGAAGACCACCGTCCAGAGATAAGAACAAAGACATAACAGAACTTCCTACAGTTAATTACAACTCTTGCCTCCTGAATCATATCTGAATTCTTGCTGAATAAAGCTATCAAGGAACATTTTAAAGAAGCTTGAAAACTTCTAAAATGTTAAACCCCTAAGTCTCCTAACTGAAAAATACAATCTCTGAGACAAATCTTGATGCAATCTAAATAAATTTGAACTATCAGAAAGAACAAGCTAAAACTAAAATTAGTTCATCATTCAGGTTACTTCTGAGACTCTTCTGAACATGAAGAACAAATTTGGGTATTGATGGGAAAATAGAAAATTTTTAAGGGTCTAAACATAGAAAGGTGCAAAGTATGTTAAAACAACTGATAATAGAATTAGCTAGTTTAGAAACCATCATAGTCAAATTTATCCACATAAAACTGTCTAGAAAGAACTGATATGAGTTATTATTCTGTGTGTTCAATGAGGACTTACATGTTGAGGAAGCTCGGAATATCATGAATTCCTTCTATCCATTCAACATCAGGACCAAATTTGACTTGGCCATTCAAATCCAAGGTCACATGCACTCCAAGGCCACCAACCTCAGGTATAGGATAAATCAAGTGCTTGAAAGGGGATTTAGTGTTTGACAGGGTGAAGTAGCAACCACGAGCATAGTGAGAAGCAGGAATAATACCATTAGGTAGGCCTTTCATTCGTTTTGCAATGGCTGGAGCGCTTAAGCCTGCAGAATTTACGACAAGCTTGGGAACAAGAATTAGTTCAGAGTCCAATTCGGACCTCCCATTCCAGTTTGCAATAGCATTGCTCCCAGAAACATGAATTTGAATTTCATTTCCTTCAATATGACCACCAATAACCGCAGTATTGTAGGAGAAAGTCGTGCCGTGACTTTCAGCTTCGCCCTAAAGCCACGGTATGGTCATAGTCCTGTCAATATCATATCAATGGTTCTAAAAGGTAAACAAATAATGATCTCCTCTAAGTAATGAGAAAATTTCACTTCCTAAGTTCTAAAGGATTAGCTCTTCGAATGTAGATTAGCTAGCAACAATATGACAGTATAATAGGAAACTGAATGGTGAGAAGCAATACCACCAATGATAGCATCAATGAATGGCTATCAACTATTCCCGAGGAAGGTGACCATAAAGCTTTAAGACATTGCAATTCAGGCTCCAGTGTCATAGCTTCATAACTGTCCATCATCGTCAGACTCTCAACCCCATTTTGAATTCCTCGAGTCATGAGAGCACTCAACTTTGGAATCTCTGATAAACCATTAGCAACTATAAGCTTGCCTATCTGCTTGTGTGGAACTTCATGATCTTTGCAATACTTGTAGAGCAATTCTTTCCCTCTAACACAGAAAAATGCCTGCGATACAGTTTCAAAGTTAAAGCTCAGGCGTGGGAGCTCCACGCAGTAGAGCTGATTATGATAGTGTTATGAAATTTACAGAACTATTACATTCCACATTCCAATAATGGCGCTCACTCCTTTACAGCTTCAAAACAAGAGATCAGTACGAGTAAGATAAGAGTTTGCATTACAACAACAACAACAAACCCAGTAGTCTCCCACGAGTGGGGTCTGGGGAGGGTAAGATGTACGCAGCCTTACCCCTACCCTTGGAAGGGCAGAGAGGCTGTTTCCGATAGACCCTCAGAAGATAAGAGTTTGCATTGAACCAAGAAAAGATAAAAATCACTATTGTCAAGCCAACTAGCACTAATTTGCATGGTATTGTACATCTAATATCCATACAGCATATGCGCAAATATGAGTATTGTACATCGAGGATTCAAAATAATTTTCAGGGTTAGCTCGAAATATAGCACTCGATTTGCAGTCATGATAATCAACTATCAGATCAAGCTTGAACTCAAATTGAATTTCAGACACCAGATAAATGTACTATAATCAAGTTAAGACAACTAGTTTCTTCATGCGGCATCTTGTATTGCCAGTTGTAGATGTAAAAGAGGAGGAGCAATGCATAACCAGTCAGTAGGACACTCAACTTTTACCACCAAAGCTTAACAGATGCCACTAATTTATCCTCTTCCAAATAACTAGGAATACTCATTTGACTGACTAGATTTATCAAAGTTCAACTTTCTGTTCATGTTTAATGAATAATGTTTAGCAGCAAGATTGCAGCAGAAGAGAAAATACCTAAATGTAGCAGGATCAAATTCAAACTTCCAGTTCATGCTTAATTTTTAGACACAAGATTACATAACAAGAATACAAGAAACTGGATTAACAGTATCAAAATTCAAACTTTCAGCTTAACTGGCAATGTGTAGAGAAAACATTAAAATACAAGGAAAAAAAGAGAGAGGAAGGATTCATTAGCAGAATCAAAATTCAAACTTCTAATCCATGCTTAACGGTGGATAGTTCTAGAAAAAAGACACTAAACTCACTGATTAGCAGTGTCAAAATCCAAACTACTAGTTCATGCTTAATAGGGGAATGCTCAAAAAAGAAAACGTTACAGTAGAAAAGAAGACAACAAAGTGGACTGATTAGCAGTATCAAAGTTCAAACTTCAAATTCATGCTTAATTGGGAGTGTTTAACAACAAGATTAAAGTATAAGAAAAACAAAAAACTCGATTGATAGACTTTATCATTCAAATTTTTAAGTTAATGCTTAATGGGGTATGCATAGAGAAAAAAAAATCGCGGTAGAAAATTAAAGGGGAGAAGGACCTTGAGAGAATTAGGAGGATAATAAATGCCAGCATGAATAACTTCACTATTGCGAGAACTGGTACCAGTCCCAAAAGTTGGGGCAGAATCAACCACCAAAACTTCTCTGCCATGCTTCACACTAAGCTCTTTAGCCACTGCTATGCCCACTACACCAGCCCCTATTACCAAACAATCCACCTTCTCCTTTGGAATTGATGATGATGATAATGGGGTTCTGCTGATATTCTTGAGTTTATGGGATATTGTTTTTGTGATTGAGTTTGTAGGTTTCATCGTCCCCAACATGGACTTCTAGATGGCGCTGCTCGGGGAACCTGAAATGAATCTGTCAAGTGTCAACCTAGTCGCTACTTATCAGTCATCTCAAAATAGGTGGATCTGAGATGATAAATCTTCCCTTTTTGTTTTTCTTTCTTCTGAAAACATACTTTAGGGTTGTACATTTCTGTTAAGCTATATGAATCCTACATACATATTCCTATTCACAAAATAATTGTTGATGCAGATGGTGTATGACCCAAAAATTAAATTTTGATTTTTATACAATTAGATTTATAAAAAAATAGGGTTGATCGTGGTCAATATTAATATTTAATAGCGGATCTAGCACTTTTAGGATAAATACTTAATATGTAATACTAGACAAGACTATCTTGAAGCATTGATTGAACAATAAAGACTTATAAATATAAAAAGTAGTAATAAATAATAATAAATAGTAGATGAGATAATGATCACCACACAAGAAATCTTTAGATATGCTTTCTCACAATGATGGACGACGATAAGCAATTGTATATTTAGATTCTTCTTGGATTCGGAGAGATGGATAAAAGAAAGGAAGTGTAAAGTGAAGTTTTATTTCTATTCAATAAAGTGAGAATCTTGCACAGAAAAATTCTTTACAAAAGTTTCAATCCCCTTATGAACTACATCTCTTTCTATTTATAAGGTTACATGGACCACAAAACACTAATTAGTACCGAAGGCGGATGACCGTCCTCGCCTTTGTCTTCTGTTAAACCATCTCGACCTCGACAGCGATTTAACTTCCTCACATAGCCTCGACGTTTTGGGGGTCAGATTGAAACATCACAGCCTTCAAAGGCTTTATCGTCGTTTGACCGGATCAAATACATAAAATGAAAATTTTCCCCCATAGAGATGGTATCGTAAAAGTTATTTATTTGATGAACAATATTCTAATTAAATTGATAGTGTGTCAAAACTCCAGTCAACATATTTCCTCTTTAGTCCAACAATCATTTAAGATGTCATTTGTTTAAAAGAATTGTAAAAGTAATTTTGATATAATTAGTGTATTTGAGATATTTTTAAAATATCGTTTTTTAATATTTGCAAACTTATTTATACAACGATTTTCAAAACTCAAAGTTATTTCTCCATGTTTACCCCAAAATTAGGTAACAATTAAATTTGTACGCGGTTTAAACGATACATGGTTTAATTCAACACAAATAATTAAGAATAACATATAAATAAATTAATCATGATATATATGATCAAACCAATGGCAATGTTAAGACCAGAACTGATCTTAGATTGAATAATGAGCTCGTCGTCGGTTGGACCCTCGGTTCAAGCCAAGTCGCGAATAAAGAACAGTACAAGTGAATAATGCCTTTAACAATAGCTAGAAGACAAAAGTAAATCTTTTTTGTTTTGAATTACGTGTTACAATGTGTCACACTAAAGAAAAATTTATCTTTTATATAGTAGGAGAGTTTCAGCCCTATTATAAGTCTAAAAATGTAAAAAAAATCTTTTTCTGGTAATTGTTGATCCATAATCGACTCCATAATCGACATCGAGCGAGATTCGCGCCTGATATCCAGTTGAGGGCGAGTATTATGGCCCTCTATCCGTCATGCATAACCGTTCACCGTATCTCCCGAGGTCTAGAACTTATACTCAGCCTAGGGCGCGTCGCTTTACCATGTCCGATGTCGGATACCGTTCACTCTTCCTGGGTCTCGATACGAAGGGTCTCTGGCCTCGATTACAATCTCGCGGATCCGTGCTCCTCCTTCGTTCTCTCATCGGGGAATCGGGATAGACATTGCCCCCTATTTTATCCGTATACAAATAGTCCCCACATTTTATGGAGAGTAGATTTATCGAAATGACGGGAAGCGATAAATGAATCATGGTTCTTTCCTTCGTATGTTACAACCGAGAAAATGAGTCAACGAAACGTCCCATCAGCCGCGTCGTTCTGACTTCGGATACGTGTCAGGCGACGGTTGACTGTCCTCGAATGTGAAACGTCACGCATTGATTGTCCTTCCTCTATAAAAGCTCTGACCCCCTTTTAACTTTTCTATTTTCCGATTTCAGAGCTCTTTGATTTACCCTCGAATCCTCTACTTACCTTTTACTTCTTCAAATCTTCATACATTGCTCCTTATATCTTCAAATCATCATACATTTTCTTTGAATCTTCAACCCAGACCTTCATATCTTCAAATCTTCATATATTTTCTTCAAACCTTCATATTCCTATAATCTGATGGCGAAACCGCCTGTAACGACCCGGCCAGTCATTTTGAGAGTAATAGCCCCGATTCCCTATTAGCTTCTTTTTCCATATCTATTTCTGCTATTGTGACTTACCGGGATAATTGATTTTGAGTTTCGGAGTATTTTGGGACACTTAATCCCTAAATGAGAGCTTAAGCCTTAGGATTTGGACCGTACTCGGAACTGTGTGAAGACAACTCCGAAATAGAATTCTGTCAGTCCCGTTAGTTCTGTTAGGTGATTTTGGGTTTAGGGGTGTGTCCGGATTGTGTTTTGGAGGTCCGTAGCTCATTTAGGCTTGAAATGGCGAAAGTCGAATTTTTGGAGTTTTGGGTCGGTAGTGGAAATTTTGATATCGGGGTCGGAATTCGATTCCGAAAGTTGGAATAGGTCTGTAATATCGAATATGACTTGTGTACAAAATTTGGGGTCAATCGGACGTGGTTTGATATGTTTCAGTATCAGTTGTAGAATTTTAAAGTTTCAAGTTCTTTAAGTTCTTTAAAGTTCCAAAAATGGAGGTTATGCCATTTTTATCAAAAACTTAAGTTGGAAGCTCGGATTTTGGACGAGGGATTTAGGAATTTTCAGAGATATCGATTGGGTAACGATTCTTAACTACTATATGGTTATATTCTACTAATCTATGCTTGAATTCATCGTTAAATTTCGGATTTGGAGTGAAAGATTGAGAAAAGTTCTTAGACCGAATTTTGGGGTTTTGATCGAGATTTTGGTATCGAATTTGAGCAATTTTGGTACGAGTAAACTCGTGAGTGAATGGATGTTCGTATTTTGCGAATTTTACCCGATTCTGAGACGTGGGCCCCATGGGCGATTTTTAAGTTAATTTCAGAATGTTTGTTAAAATGTTGATTTCATTAATTAGATGAGTCTATTATGGTTGTATTTATGATATGTAATTGCTTTTAGCTAGATTTGGGCCATTCGGAGCCAGATATTCGTGGGAAAGGCATTGTGACCGATTGATTGAGCTTGGTTCGAGGTAAGTGGCTTGCCTAACCTTGTGTTGGGGACTTTCCCCTTAGGATATTTCGATATTATTTGGTGTGTGGGCACCGTGTACGTGAGGTGATGAGTACGTACACGGGCTGTTATTGCAAAAATCCCGTTTATCCTTTTTAAATCATAAATTGTTTCTTTTATTGAATTGCACTAATAATATTTAATTGTTGAGTTTAGACTAGAAAAGCATACTTACGTGTTTTAACTGCCTAATTGATATTTTGTGCGTCATGCTTAGTTAAATCCCTATTTTCCTTATCTGTGATCAGTGTAAACTGTATAATTCGAGGCCATACATGTCATTGTATCTTGCATTGCATATTTACTCTGGGACTACAGACGTATTCCGGGAGATCCTCCAGCACTGCATATTTACTTTGGGACTACGGACGTATTCCGGGAGATCCTCCAGCACTGCATATTTACTTTGGGACTACGGACGTATTCCGAGAGATTCCCCAGCGCTGCATATTTACTTTGGGACTACGGACGTATTCCGGGAGATCCCCCTGTACTGCATATTCATTCGGAACTACGGGACGGCATCCCGAGAGATTCCCCATTGTGTTTACTTTGTACTGAGCCGAGGGCTCCTTTAACTATTAAAGTTTCGAGAATTTCTTTAACTGTATTACCGTAAATTTTACTTATATCTTTTACTGTTTAATTTATTATATTTACTCCGGTAGGGCCTTGACCTGATCTCGTCACTACTCGACTGAGGTTAGGCTTGGCATTTACTGGGTACCATTGTGGTGTACTCATGCTACTCTCTGCACATGTTTTTCGTGTGCAGATCTAGGTGCACCTTATCAGCCACACTATCAGTGAGCCGGGACAACTTTGGAGACTTCAAGGTATATCTTCCGCATCCGCAGACCTCGGAGTCCCCTTCTACTCTTTCTCATGTCCATTATTTTTTGTATCTTCCTTGTTAGATTCTGATGTATAGAGACACTAGACTTTTCCTTCTGTAGTTTATGATTCACGATGTTCCGGGTTTTGGGGATTGTTGTGTATTGTTGAATAGTTGGTTAAATTTATATTTTTATTTCATTATTCCGCAAAGTGTTAGTCTTACCTAGTTGTAGAGACTAGGTGTCGTCACGACGTCACACGGAGGGAAAATTGGGTCGTGACAAGTTGGTATCAGAGCCCTAGGTTTGTAGGTGTCGTGAGTCACAAACCGGTTTATTAGAGTCTCGCGGATCGGTACGGAGACGTCTGTACTTATCTTCGGGAGGCTATGGAACTGTTAGGAAAATTTTACTATTTTTATTCCTTGTCGTGCTAAAATTATTGACTTCAAAGATTCTAAACTTCTGTATTCTATTCTCTCACAAATTGTGAGGACATGTACAAACGGATCTGATGACCAGACACCCGTACCCCCTGCTAGAGCCGCGAGAGGCCGGGGCCAGGGTAGAGGTCGAGGACGTCCACGTGGTGCATCCAGAGCACCCGTACGAGCCGCTACAGAAGAGACCCTAGTAGTTCAAGCTGGAGGACAGACACCTGAGATACCTGTTGCTTCACTAGCTCTCCAGGAAACTCTAGCCCAGTTTCTGAGCATGTTCAGCACCTTAGCTCAGGCTGGATTGATTCCACTTGCTCCTGCCACATCTCAGGCCAGGGGAGGAGCACATACTCCCATCGCCAGTACTCTAGAGCAGCGGGTTCATGTCGACTAAGTTCCAGAGGTTATACCAATGCAGCTGGTAGCTCCAACTCAGCTCGAGGTTAGGGCAGCAGCTTCTGAAGCAGAGCAGCTCAGACTTGAGAGGTACAAAGAGTACCACCCACCTACTTTCAGCGGACTAGCTTCGGATGATGCTCTGGGTTTTCTTGAGGAGTGTCATCGTATTCTTCGCACTATGGGCATTGTGGAGATGAGTGGGGTTTCTTTCACCGCTTTCCAGCTGAGGGGAGC